CATGAGGGTCTCTTTCCCATGAGAAACTTCAAATAATCTGCAGGGCTCACAAGTTGAGATCCAGTGATTGAGTTCAGAGTTATACCAGGCCAGTACATGCTCTCTCTCGCTCTCCTCAAACAGCTTTCTACACCAGCGTGTGACGCCTGTATGTCTTTCTTTATCTCAGCTCTCAGCCCTCGAGGCACAACCAGGCACTCCCCTTTGAACACCAGCCCATCATAAATACTAAGTTCATCTCTCAAGCTGTAGTAGGGGGTCAGCTGAGGTGAGATCTTTGACCAATCCTCGGGCCATCCCTTCAGTATGGTGTCCAAAAGCAAGTAAACAGTGAAAATGTTTACTATTGGTTGAGATGCAGAGTTCTTAGCTCTATTTGTTTAAGTTCTGCAAACCCTTTACTAACCTTTAATTGCAGCAAGTATGCCTTGGTCTAGGGGAGCATAATCCTTTGTGCCATGGACGGTTGATGTCAACAACACATCTCTGTTCAGTTGAAAAAGGTGGTCTTAAAAAGGTGGTCCACAAGGCGAAGTGTCATGGCTGTAAGCTTGCAGGCAGCCTTTGCATAGGTGAAATCTATTCTGGAAAGCTGGAGATTACTGTTGCCCCAACTGCAACTGTATCGGTATCGGTTCCTTCGAATGTAAAGAAAAATAGGTAAATTGCAGTATTGGAAATAATTTTATCGCTTGAAAAGGGGGCATACTGAAAACTGCTCATTCATTACTCTTTTTGGACTTAAAAAGGTGGTCCACAAGGCGAAGTGTCATGACTGTAAGGTTGTGGGCAGCCTTTGCATGGGTGGAATCTATTCTGGATAGCTTGAGATTACTGTTGCCCCAACTGCAACGGTATCGGTTTATTTGAATGTAAAGAAAAATAGGTAAATTGCAGTGTTGGAAATCATTTTATAGCTTAAAAAGGGGGCATACTGAAAACTGCTCATTCGTTTCTCTTTTCGGACTATTTAATCAAACGCAACGTGATTGTTTATCTTTTTCCATAGGGCTGTCTGCTAATTCTGTTAAAGTTCTGCTTTGGGCTGGAACAACAAATTGGTGCAGGTCTGCTGGCATCTCATGTTGCCACAGTACAGCTGGGGGCGGTGTAAACTCTACTGAGGATGGAGTAGAATTCATGTAGGGTATAACTAATGAAGGTATCTGAGGTGTACAGTGTGGTGCCTGTTGTGTTTGCCCGGCCATAACACTCAGGAGCCTGTCCAGCTTAGCCTCCTGCTTTGCAAATGAACACTCAAACCTCCCCAAGATGGTCCTCAGATGGCGAAGCTCCTCACCAATGGCCTCAGAGGTTCTTTCACAGGGGTGGTTCAACTGAAATAGGAAAATATCACACACACATTATCTTTCAGGGTATTAAAGTTATCACAGTAGTCTTTCAACTTAGGCTATACCCAACAATGATTGACAGACAGAGAAATAGACATACAACTAAATGCAAAGAAATGTGTAATTCAACTGACTTTTGGTAAGGTAGTTTTTTATTTTCCTAGTAATATGGGAGCATTACAAAGTGAGAACTCGAAATACACAGTCAATTCTACGTTAAGATGATTATGCTGAGATAATAACTTATATTTGTTGTTTTAGCATTTGCGGCAACCAAAAAAATGTAGATTCTCAAGTTCCAAGGGGTGTCGCACCAAAATGCAGTTAACGTTAGGGACTATTTTACAGATCGAGATAACAAACCAAAGTTGACTGTTTGCACTAATCTTTATTCGTGAAAAGCAATCAACCATGAACCACAATCAACGATGAAAAATCACAATCAATTGCACAATCAATCAATCTATCAATTGTAAACTGAAACAACAATGCATAAAAGCTCTATCAATCTAATGAAATGTCACGGAATGCATAATCAAAGAATCACATGTAAAGAACTGGGCCTAAATGTCGATAAAGAGATTAAAAATGACAAAGAGCAATGCAAATAAAACGGTACAAAGTACAAAAGTTTCGATACAAATTAGTGGAATTTTGGGTGGCTGGATAACAGCCCATTGTTCTTATCTGGATGGTGGGTGTTCACTTGCATTTGGTACAATTTTAGCCTTTAAATCTTAAATCAATCATGAATACAGCAATACAGCAGAATATCTGTTTATATATTATTGCCCAACACTGAAAAGGTGGACTAGAAAAAGACAAAGTTACAAAAGTACTCATATATCAGTCCTGCTTGTGCCAAAGGTTGAGAAAACAAGAAAGAGCGAAAGTTTGCTAAGACAACTCAAAACTTAAGAGGAAATGATTTAAGGGACGCTAAACTTGTCTTTTATATGCGTGTGGTGACGCTGAAAGGTCCAATTACAAAACCAGTAGAAATGCAGAAAAAACAGATAAACATGGTAACTATGTACGTATCTAAGATCATTCTGAAATTAGTGAACTAATCAATAATCAATTCAATAAAAATGAGCCTTCTGGCTAGTGTCCTTAACATGGCTCCCCTGAAATATTAATATTTCACTTATCTAATTATTAATCTATCAAAGTCCAAGTGTTAACTAAATCAAGTTTTCGCTCAAAATGCAGTTTATTTCTTGCCAAGGCTCCTTGGCCGGGAATTATTCCTGTTCTAATCCTTCCCCTGGTGCTGGCATCAACAACACTAGCTTCTGGATTGGCCTCTTGAGATATCGCACTGAGCCAATCTCCAGCTGTGAAAGCTTTACTTTTCATCAAATCCCAACAACCTATATATCAAATTAAAGCTTAAGAAATGTCCTTTCTGATCATTCTATTACAATAAACTTTGAACCGAAGTTACTTTTAAAATGTAGCTATGAAATCATGTTTTTGGAAAAATTTGATGATAATTGGGCATAAGAAAATAACACATCATATTAATTTCTTCCAAAAGTTATCTGTACAAGCCTAAAATGGCAACCAGAGTTAAGCCCTAGTCCACCAGCTTGACAAAACAATCCCTGTGACTGTGACAGCATTTTTTCCCTTAAATGGTAGCAAGACTGCATATTTGTCAAGTTAACACAATCAAATTAGGAATTTATATACATTGTTTGGTTTTGCATCAGTTCAAAACAGTAAGCTCAGTTGTACAGGTCTATGTTGTAAATTTCTATTTCTGTGTTTGAATTGACTTCAAAACCTAACAAAAGCCAAAAAAAGAAAAAATGAATAATGGTTATTATCAGTTAATCAATTAGTTTCAGCATCCACATTGCCAATATTGGCTTCATGTCCTCGAATGTAGGCAGCAACATAGTCCTCAACAGTGTGGTACAACTGGAAGCAGTCTTGCATACAGAGTGCTACTTTACAAACACTGCACTGAAAGCTAGACTCTTTTCCTGGCCTCTTCCTTTTATCTCCTGTCCTTTTTAGAATCTTCTTTTGGACAGGAAAGCAAACCCCACATGCCTGGGTGATGTTGGACTTCTTCCTGGTGCCCAGTATTTTCTCTGGGAAGTGACCTCCAACTTGAAGATGGGTGGAGCCTTCGGCTGACCTCCTTGGGTAGCCTCTCGGAGTGAGAGAATGGGAGATGCCAGAGTTCTTAGCAAGCTCCTTTTAAAAGGTCCTTTGCAGCCAGGTGAATGGGTTCTTTGCTTGTACAGGATGGAAGCATTCAGGATGCTTAAGGAAAACAGGTGGAAGAACACTTTCTTCCACCATTTCATGGTGTTTCGCCTGAGGCAAGAATAGGCCACCATCTGATCACACCTGTCAACTGCCCCCTTGAACTTGTTGTAGTCATGGATAATCTCAGGTTTAGCGATTTGGAGCCCAGTTCTAGGGTGATTTTGGCCAACTTCTACGTCTGCAACAGAATGAACTGATGACAGCATCTGGAAAACGCTATGGTCCTTAAATTTAACTGCCAGCAAAGTTCCATTGTCCATAAGAAACTTGTCACCTTTTTTTTCACTTGTGCCCTTTTAAATTTCTGGGGAATGCCTTTCCTGTAGTGGGCTGTTCCACAGGCCCCAGTGTTCTGCCTGTAGAGCTCAGCAAGTAAAGGAGGTGATGTGTAGTAGTTATCAACATACAAACACCTGTCCATATTCAAATAAGGTTGCATGAGCCTCATGACTAAGTCATATGTTTTTGCCTTTAGTACTGGGTGGTTCTGGGTTTACACAAGTGTAAATTTCAAACCTACAATGATACCCATTACTTGAGTCACACAACTGGTATGACTTAACACCATACTTATCTGACTTGTCTGGATTGTACACTTTGAAGTGCACTTTTCCTCTGAATGGAATTATCCCTCCTCTATGCAAATATTTTTGCCTGGCTTCCAGACATCTGGAAAATTCCCAGTGACAACACTGTACATAGTATCAAGCTTGTTTACTGGGCTATACACTTCCTGTCCTCGAAGAGCATAATTATCATTATCACACAAGTGAAAAAATTTTAAAATATTAATAAATTTGTCTCGACGTAATTTGAGAGAAAAAGGAGTAGACCAGTAATCCTGGACCATTGGTTGACCAGTAATCCTGGATATTCTCTTGATTCACCAGGCCCATTGCAATTATCATGGCAAGAAAAGCTTTCATCTTACCAGATGTCACACCATCCTCTGGCCAATTTCTAAACCTTGAGTGCTGAGGTAAACAAGCTCTTCACTGTAAAGATGCAATTGTTACCATTGTTTCTACTTCGGAACTCTGTTGGATGCTTAATTTATAAAACGTGTATCAGAAGCAATACCATTTGCATGCACCTGCTGTTTCCTGTTACTTAAGTAAGAAACCAGTTGTATTCACTTTGTTGTAATCCATAGTACTTAAGTTTATTTAGTAATATTTGATGGTTTACTGTATTGAATGCTTTACTTAAATCTAAGAATAAAGAAACCACATAAAGTCCTCTATCAAGAGGAGAAGTTATTTCTTCAATAAGGTCAATTAAACAATCAGAAGTTGTGAAACCTGGTCTAAATCCATATTGTTTTGAGGAAATCGTGTTATTATTTGTAAAATAGAACATCAGCTGATTAAAAATTCATCTCTCAAATATTTTACTTATGGAAGAGATAACTGAGATAGGTTGATTATGACTACATGCAAAACGAGAGCCTTGTTTAAAAACTGGAACAACTTTAGCAAGTTCTTTCCTCCTTTCCCTCTATCGTGTTTATTCCTAAGCCCCAAACTTGCTAAACTTGTTGTTTCACGTTGAATCTAATGGCATGATAATACTTACCAAACAGCTGTTTGGAGAAACATGTGAAATAGACTCACATTCATCAAGATGACTGCATGACAAAGAAGACATCAAGACAGATGAATTCAAGTGTTGCCAAGCATTATTCTTAAATGAGGGGGTTCTCCTTTGGCCCTATCAATAAACCATGGTTTAGATTTTTTCTGCGAGATGAAAGATGTTATTTTCTCATGCTTTGTGCCTGGTTTCAGAGTTGTTTTACTTATCTCCTCTTTCTTCTTTTCCACAGCAGCTGCCACTCTAATTCTTTGACTATAGTTCCATTGAACCAAAATTTATTTGATTTATTCTTTTAAGTACCTATTTATATGAAAGAGGTCTTGATACTGGAATGTTGCTCATGAATCAAATATGGTTCCTTTTAACCCCAGCATTATCTAAGTACATTGCTAATTATGACCTTATTGAATTATACTTCTTCTTCTTATGCCACTCCTTTTACAAAATATTTACACTTCTAATAGTCATCTTCATTTTCTTTGTGAACTTAGCACATTTTATCGTTGCATTTCATTGCACTTCCATTCAAAACTGCCATGAGACCTGCATAAGCTGGTGTCATATTCTCAGCAGTGCCTAAATGCAGCATTTTTGCTGCATTTAATGTCTGCAGCCTCCTTCGTCTGGTGCTATGGCCAGGGCCAGAGATTACACACTTTACACACTTTACACACTTTATTTTTCTTTTTCTTACAAAATAATTTAGATTATGTTGACCCGCAGATAGCAAATTTGCTATTCGAGGCGGGTCAATCATCAACAAACATTATTTACAATATATAAAAAAAATTAAAAACTAAATAGTTAGATATTGTTAAATTATAAAGAGAAGCATAACTGGTAAATACATCAATAGTTGTTCAATAAAGTATAAAAGCAAATAAATTAGTACTGAAAGCAATCGGATCAATTTGTTTTAATTATGCAGTCCTTAAGTTTAGAGGAGATCTTTTCAACATCAAGATAAGAATCTTCATTATCTAGTATCTGAAATAAGGACGTTTTTATTTGTTTATTAAAGGAATGTTTTGATAACGTTTTGAATTCTTTCGGTATCTTATTCCAAATTTTGACACCAACACGCGAGAAAGTCTAGAGTACTTTGTATTAAAGAGCTGCGATTTGGATGATCGAGTATTGTAGGTATGAATATGAGATGTTTTAGTAAATAGTTTCAAAATATTAATGGGAGCCCTCTGGTTGTGCACGTCAAACATAAGTTTACTTACGGCTTCATAATATAGGAACGTAAAAGGCAGAATTTTTGCTTTGGCAAATAAAGGGATGGCATGCTCTCTTCGATTGGTGAAATAGATTAAGCGCAAAACTCGCTTTTGAAGAACTAAAATCTTGTTTAAGTAAGCATTTGACGCATTGCCCCATCATCTTCCAAAATTTGAGGAAGACAAATCTTGACCATGTAAATCTTCAGTTTCATTTCAATGCATAACTTCACAGCCAGAATAAATCATAAATTATTCTATTGATAAACTGTTTGAATGGAATAAAAAAGCATTCTCCAATAGAAAAAAAGGATTATTAATCAGACATACATGACATACTGCTAATAAAAATTTTGCAATACATTATAGGGCAGTTGAAAAACTACTTTTGGCTTGGCTTATTTGTGACCGCAAAATGGAGAAAAAGAGCTCTTTTTTGTACAAACAAGGATATAAGAAATAGGTGCTCAATTTACTACTTAACTTTGGAACTTACAATCAGGAGATGGGTTAAACAAGCTTATCTTACCATTTAAACAAAATCAAGTACATAGGTAAAAAAACAATGCGATCATCATGTTTCTATTTACTGTTTTCAACTTTGACTCTATTTTCAGTCAATTTTTGGTCTACTGAGCACTGTCGGCCAACTGTTGGTAATGTGTCAGTAACCTGTCAGCTGACAGTTGACCAACAGGTTACCGACAGCCGAAAATGGGAGCCATTGTTCACTATTACCCAACTTCCACTAGTTTTGTCAGTGCCCTCTTGAAGAGATGCAATATTGTTCTTCTTTCTCTTTTGTGTCACCTTTCTTTCTTTTTCTGGTTCTGAGGGCATAGTAAGAAAAGGTAAAGGAGAAGGTCATGTTTTTTTAATTTTGCAATTCACAGGCAAGGTGACATGCATATGAGTCTGGTAAAATATAACTTTATTGGGGATTCCTTGTTATTTTATTTTCAAGTTTGCTATCCTAAGAAGAGCAGGAACAATTAAGTTCTTAGGTTTACAGCTTCATCATCAATTTTTTTCTTGGTGCAATTGACCATCATGTTGGAAAGTGAATGGCAACTCACAAGGGTCATTTATGACATGCTATTTTTACGTTGTCATTCCTCTTTGGACTATTTGCATAGAATATTTCTGTTCCACCCAAAAGAAGACCAAAGACCCAATACAGAGGAAGAACCCAATTTTATTTAATAACACAATTTGATCTGAAATACAAAGAACCCATTTTGGAGCTTGGTCTTACAAGTATTCAAAACAAACAGAAAATTAACTGTACTAACCTGGATATCAACTGAAAACTTACTTCTTGACTGCCTTCATACTTGTGGCACATAACTGGTTGGCAATATTACAATATCTGGTCAGCTCAGTTGAAACTGAACTGAACAACTAGATTATGCGACTTAAACTAAAAGTTTTAAGCTACAAACATTGCAATAATTATTGCGATATATGAATTCAAACAGAGTGCACGCAGAACACCAAACATAAACAGCTTGGGCATTAAATTTAACAATTAATTATACTGAACTGAATGTTTAGTGAAACAATTCCCTCTTCTGTAAAGGGAATGTTCTACTTACCAGGAATGGTGGCATTGAGGGATCCCTCTTTTGTTTGAAAAAAGTATCAATGAAAACTTCTATAAAGGGAATTTTCTTCTTACCAGGAATGGTGGCAACAAAGGATTCTTTAGTATTAACGCTTCCATGGAAAGATACCTGCAATCAGCCAGAGTTTTGACTGTTTACCACAACTGTTACATATATGATTTATGGAAAAAAAAATAACAAAGCAAAGTTCCTTGTGTTATTTTTCTCACCTCATCATCTTTTCCGAACATCTCAGTTGCTTCATATTGTTTCTGTGAAATGACATAGACATGAACCAGTTGTTCCAGTTTAATTGTTACTACATGGTTCTTTCAAGATCCTTTTTACATGTTACTTACCCTAGTTATCAAGCACAGTTTTTCTGATTGGATGAGAATGTTGCTGTGTAGGTTTGCATCAGGAAAAAAAACACAGATCCAACTTGATGGAATGAAAAATATTTTGGGAAGTCTCCTGACCCACCCAGCCATACACCTCTTGAAAATAATTTCATGAAAAAGAATGTAAGCCTGTTGATGCTTGATTATTAAAGGCCTTTTGTGAAAGTTATTTAGAGTGCAGGCATTTCTTATATATATAAGCCTTGTCCCAAACTCTTGTGCTTCTTGAGTGGTTAAATGAATATTTATAAATTTACTTAGCCACTTATAAAGGTTGATCATATCATTCCTCATTCTTCATTCTCCTTTTTTTCCCCTTCAAATATCCATTATCCGTAGTTGAATATCATGAGTGGAGCTAACTCTAAGAATTATGTTGATCAGATTTGATACATGTATATCAAATTTGTCATTATGCTTTCAGATATTTTGGAGATTTTTTTGGCATGTGACTAATCTGTGCATCCAAAACACTAAAAATAATTTGAAAAATTAAATATTCTCCAATGGTTTACTCACCAATCCTTAGTGGAGGTGGAAGTTAAAAGTAACTGGGTGTTCCAGTTGATCCTCATATACATCTTTCAGGGAGTCTCCAAGGTGTAACAAAATGTGTGATGCTGATTGGTGAAATAGTCGATTGATTTGATGAAATGTTCAAGAAAGTTCCTTGGTATGCATGTTACCATGACTAAACAGTCTGGAGTTCTCTAGAAGCTTACACTTACAACAACAACTACTCATAACATTACAAATGTTAGTAGTGCTCTGATATCTCTGGAGTCTTAATGGTCTTATTAGAGTGAGAGTGTCTGGACATGAACATTGTCAACATTGGTTTTGCTCATAAATGTTAACTGTGTGGTTGTAAACTTTTAAAATTCTTTTAAATCCAATTATCACAACCCATGTATATATTATTTACTGGTATATATCTTAATCAAGAATATTA